CCCATATAAGTAAGTTATCAAAACGGCTCGGCTCTGCAGTGTACGCGATTAAAAAAATAAGGAAACTTTCAGACGTCGAAACCGCTAGATTGGTTTACTTCAGCTACTATTATGAAAATGTAATTTATGTTAAAAGGAATAGTAATTTCTTTATGAAAAATAGTGACAGACATAACATTCATACGAGGAATAGAAATAAACTAGCTTTTCTTGATAGTCGTCTTCACAAAGTCAAAAAATCTTTTAAGGGCAATGTATACGCTTATATAACAAGATTCCGGTTGATATACAAAATTTGCCTTTCACGAGGTTTAAAACTATAGTGAAACAAAAACTTTATACAACTTCTGCGTACTTGGATGACAAAAATCCGTGGTAGTAACCCGTTTAGCTCATGGAGGTAGTCTCGATCTCTGATGTTTCAAATTAAAAAAATAAATAAATATTGTAAATGTTATTTACAAAGAGCAACCCCTAGAGTTTCTTGCTCATTCTTCTCAGGGGAATCTGCCTTACGAATGAGCGGTAGAGTTTAATTGTGACGATTTCAAGTGTAATAATGCTTACCTATGAAATAAAGATTATTTTGAATTTGAATTTGAATTTGAATTGGGATCATTATGGAATTCCCCCCTTTCCAACAAAAAAATAATCATGAAAATCGGTTCACAAATACAGGAGTTATCGCGTAACATACATACAAAAAAAAAACAGAACATACAGTCGAATTGAGAACCTCCTCCTTTTTTGAAGTCGGTTAAAAATAGCATATGATATTTCCACCATGACATTTTTTTCTGTAGTTTTAAGTGCTTCAAAACAACACTGTACATTAGTATAAGCAAAAAATAGCGTCCTTATTTTGTTTAACGTCTTTCCTTTAATATTATATAGTAAATAATATAATCTAGACAATTGAATCTAGACAATACATTTAAATTCAATTGAAGTAGCCGGAACACTTTTTCTTGCCTTTTTGTGTATAACGCTGACGCCTCATTTATGGAAAGTAAATAATTACATTTCAAAACAACATTATGAAAGCATTTGTATAAAATGTCGTAGTGCGTAATACAAGAATTTGCTCAGTAAGAATTTGTCGCTTCGGAAAATTGGTCTTGTGTCAGTTACCGATTAAATTATTTATAGCTGGTATTACGTTTCAACAAATAATACATTTAAATAGAAACACTTGTTAGAGACCAAAAATTACTTCTAATTATATTACAACAAGATGGTGGCCCCGGTTTTCAGACAGGTACGTGTCTCATTCAACCTGTATTTCAAGGAACACGATGCAAAATTTTATAACAAATAGTGTCGTCTTAAAAATTTGTAGTTTAATGAAGTATTGTTTATATAACTGTCCGGTGATCAATTTAAGGAAACCGTGTCAGCCCAATGGTTCGATTTACCGCCTCTCCAGCAGAGGACGTGAGCTCGTATCCGGGCTAGCACCCAGTGGCGGATTTCCAGTCTTGACCGGCCTAGGCCTCAGGCCATGTAGTCAGTACCAGCCGCCCCTTGATAAGCACTCATTATATACTGGTGGATATATCTATATTTTATACATAAAATGATCCTTCCTTGTGCGAACAACCATCTGAATGTTTTATCTTTTCTTTGGTGTCGGAGTCCGATATTCGCAAAACCTAAAGCTGTTAGATGTGATGACATTAGTCGACAAATGAGTCTTTTGTTTAGATAGTACTGTAGTCTAGGCTCTACTCTATGAGTAGAATCACTGGCTGAGTGAATATAGTTTTGTAATTAGAATGTGTTTTGAAAAATGAAATAAGAAAAGAATAGAACATCTTGAGAGTTCGTAATGTAATCCAACGCTGAAAATATGTAAAAAAGTGCAATAAAGCAAAAATAGGAAGAAAAAATATAATGCCAAATATTTTTAATAGTTGTCGTTGCTATACTGCTCACGCATGCGCACCTCACTCGCCTCTCGCTACCCAAAGTTTACCTGCACCTACACCTTGCGGACGTGGTCGCTGCACTGTAGTCAGGTTCCCGAGTTCCTAGCATTTAGTTAACGTTTACTTGTAATTATTAATCACGATACGATGATATTAAGGTGACGTATTTACATTTCAATAGTTATAAGACCGAACCGAAACTCCCAAAAATTCCGGATTTTCCTTAGCTGACAACCCGGTTCTAAACTGGACGGTTATTCGGTTTTTTCGATTAACCGAGTAACCGGTTTTCATTCCCTAATCATGTAAAACTATTAGATACTTTCATTATATTTTAAACAAAGATTTACCTACAGTTCAAATTGGCATTACGCTGTGACAAATCGCGTTCTAGGCCCAACTCACACTGGCGCAGAATCGCAGCGTCGCGACGCGCCATAAAACGCGTAAGCTATTTATTATCCGTGTATTCAATTTCGAAACTTCTGAAACAACCAAGATATTCTTTTTTTACAATACTCTATATGGTTTTATCATATAATACTAAATACAAACCTATATTTATTCAGCTAGTTCTAATACAAATCATACAGCCTAGTCTACATCCCTCTTCCTCACAATTGAAGGGGGGAACTTTCCTAGCTAGTGCCCTACCTATGATAGGCAAACTTACACATGTGGTCAGCCTTTAGTATAGGCTAGCCACACACTGCTCGCTATTAGCTAACTAGAAGCTATTACCCTACCTAAGAACAAAACTATCGAGGAAGCTATGGCTTTAATCTGCCAAAAACTTATCTAAAAGGACAGATTATGATCACGCCATAAGGAAACAATTCAAATATATTTACTTATTACCTATCCTAGCTATTTGGGTATCCTAGTAAACTCTAGCAATAAAACCCTAGCTCTTTATTTAAGCTAAAATTCTACCTAGGCTGAATTCTACCAAAATCTTTAATTAAGAAAGAAAAACAATACATTTCGTCATAAACATATCATTTCCAAATAAATAATCTCCATCGTGCATGTTGTGAAGACGACATCATAGGCCTGAGTATCCATCTGGTGCTCACTGGGTTACATCAATATAGATCTCCCAGCTGCCTTAGTCCTCGTCTTGCAGCTATCCACGTTCCATCAGATTTTATTTGGGCAAAGCAAAGAACACACAAATTATCCTAATAAAAATAAACATCAGGAATAAATATGATATGATGATATTTTTTTACTTACTTTACTTATTATTGTAAGTCTTCAATATGATACCATATTGAAGACTAACAATAATTAAATAAACACATTTTTCATTGAATGCAGATAGTTCTTGTTCATCTGGAGGAACGGCCAACAACGATACACATATACAGGTTAATATACTCATGAAACCAAAATAAAATAAGTCATATTCATCCAAGTTAGTAATCCATCTGCTCTTGTCCTTCTATGTTAGCATCTATCTGCATTCGCCAGAAAGACTTCCATCGTATAACAGAAAACTGATTGTCTTCACGGCCTCATTGTTTTCTCCATGTGAAAAATAAACACAAAAGATTAACAAACATATAACAACAAAACAAACTTATCACCTATTAGAAATAGAAAATCGTTAAACTATCTACTGAAGAACTTTTTCATCCTATTTGTGAATAAGATCCTGCCTATCAGACCTATTCACATTACTATATCTCCTGGGCGATAAAGCAACTCTAGCTTTTTTATCAAAACTTCTCTTATGTTTAGATCGCGTTCTTCCTATACGTTCCTTAACCGTATCGATCAAGGCTGCTCGTTTCCAAACCTCATCCCGTAAATTCTCTGAAACACTTACACAAACGCCTTTAAAAATAATATTTACCGATACATATCTTCGGTGTAACATCTTTATTTTTATTACTTCAACTTCAACTTCAACTTTTGTGTCTATGGCTCCGACGCTCTTGACGCAATTGACAACTCTTGCCACTCACGTCAACTTTTTTCTTTATTTCCGGCAAATAAGCAGAGTATATATACTCCGACCTATTTACAAGTTATTAAAACTTTTTGATGATACTAGCTCGAAAGAACAATTTTCTTCTCTCGACACGACATCAGTCATTGAATTGAAAGAAACTTCAACATTATCATTTAAATTAATCTTCGACAATGCAAAATTAATAGTTGTCTCGCTTTCCCTTTAAGAAGTCTTGCCCCAAAATAAGAAGTTCCTCATCATCTTGCACTGTAAGCAACCTTCATGGATATTTATTTCCATTGATTGTCAACGAAACTTTGGTGGACGTCTGCACTGTTATTTGCGTTCCGCCGACTATACGAAATGGCAAATTTGGACTTCAATCTGCAAACATAACTTTTTTGCAAAACATTGAGAAATTATCGAATCCGAAGCATCTGTATCAATACATCGCATTTCACATCATTAATAAAAAGAGATATAAAGGGTGCTCTTATCTACTTCAAGACTATCAACTGTATATAAATTTCCTGAACGACCAGCTGCGCCTTGATGACAATCACGTTGAGGATATCCCGTTGAAGATCCCCTTCTTTGTGCTTGTGAACACTTGACGTGATGTATCCTGCCGCACTTCGTTTGGGTTGATGGCAACGATTGGTGCCTGTGGTATTTGATAAACTGTATGTGTAGACATGGGTTCAACTATCGGTGAAGAATCTTCCTGTGCTTGCGAACAGTGAGAGTGCTCCTTAGGAAAACATATTGGTAATGCGATACCTTGTTGTCCCATATTGTATTCTTGACTAAATATATCTTCCATCTGCATAATTGTTTTTCTTGATTCGTTTTTCGATAAAAACAAATTGCTAGGCTAGCAAGCATCCATTGATAATGAGGTAATATTTGATTAAGTTTACATCATTCTGTTCTTTGCTTTTGTCGCTAAATTATCTAAATTATAAAAATAACTTAACAGCGATTCGTTAGCCATCTGTCGCCTATAATAAAACTCTTGTGCATAATCTATTTGCGACGGGATTGCTCTTTTAGTTTTTGCGCAATAATGTCATACGTCATGTATGACGAAAAATTGGTTTTATACCATTCAAGATCTGGCCCTTGAAGACACGTCGCAATCACGTACCTTTTTTGCACATCTGACCAATAGTGCAATTTATACTGTAATGTTACATTTGAGAAATAAATTAATCTGAATTTGAATCTGAATCTTAATCATGTAATTGCATGTGATTTTCACTAACACCATTTTAATGTTTATTTATTTATTTATTTATTTATTTTCAGGGATAACAAACAATTGTACATGAAATGTTTACAATCAAAGTTAAATATTTCTAACATAGGTACACGTACAATCAACAGCATTATCCACAAGTTACTATTAGAATTAAAATTAAAATTAAAATTGTCGTGTGTGATGGGTAGTGCCAAATAAACTAAAATAAATAAAAGGTAAATAAGAAATTAGCTCTAAATATAAATAATAGCTTTTTTAAATTTAGAAGCAGGCAAATGGAATATGTCAATATTGCAAAACAAATCATGTAATGTAATGAGAAAGAATACGACGTACGAACTCGCTTGCCAGCATTTGTTTTGCAGGTCGCCGTTTTAAACAACGAGTAGAAGCGCACTCGCCGTCGATAAACTCTCATTCGTACATTATATCTAATATGTTGCACAACATCTGGGCAATCAATTAAATTGTGACAAAGTCTATGGAGTGTTACAGATTGAAGAAGCATTCGTCTATTGTGAAGTGTTAGCATTCCAAACTTAGATTGTAAACCCTCGTATGACGTAATTTTTCTAAATATTTTATAATTTATCGACTTAAGGAATTTAGCTTGAATTTTTTCAATTTGTTCTGAGTATTTTCTATAGTAAGGGTTCCAAATTGAGCACGCATATTCCACTTGAGGTCGAATCAGACTAATGTATAAGTAAAGATAAGTTGATAGACGAGAGAAGTCGGTAGCAGTTCTCATGACGAATCTATACATTCGAAACCCTTTGGCAACGATGGAGTCAATGTGTAGATCGAGATGTAATTTATTATCTAATATTACTCCCAGGTCTCGCAGGGAATCCACTACTGTTAATGAGTTATTGCAAAATTTGTAATTATATTTAATTTTTTTTTCTTCCTTTTCGTAAAACTAATACTGTTACATTTAGGGATACTTAGCTTGAGTTTATTGATACTACAATAATGAGTTAAATTATCTAAATCATTCTGAAATAAAGTACAATCAATATCACTAGAAATGCTTCTATAAATTTTTAGATCATCAGCATATAAAAGAAAATTTGTGTTCTTAAAACAGATTTTAATATCATTTATAAATAAATAAAATATATTAAACAGCAGCGGGCCTAAAATGGATCCCTGAGGTACACCTGATGACACATCAATTAGGTCTGAATGATATCCATTAACAATGACTCTTTGCGACCTGTTACAAACATAAGATGAGAACTAACGGAGGAGATTCCCTCGAATACCATTGAAGGCAATCTTATCAAGTAATAGTTTGTGATCAACTTTGTCAAATGCCTTTTGGAAATCTGTATATACGGCGTCTATTTGGATGCCGTTGTCCATATTTTCAAAAACAAAACCAGTGAATAATAATAAATTAGATACCGTCGATCTACGCTTAACAAAACCGTGCTGTTCGGGTATTATAAGGGAACTCAAGACCGGGTACAGCTCATCATGCACTAGTTTTTCAAATAATTTGGCAAATATACAAAGAATTGATATTGGTCTATAGTTTTCAATGTTTTGTTTAGGGCCATTCTTATAGACAGGAACTATGTTAGCAGTCTTCCATCTAATTGGAAAAGTACCTTCAGATAGGCATTTATTAAAGATTATAGTTAGTGGTGTTGCTGTAAATTTGGCTGTAGTTTTTATAAAAATTGGTGGGAGTCCGTCGGGGCCTGGTCCTTTTGTAACATCCAGAGAATTTAACTGTTGATAAACTTTATCAACACCGAGGTAAACATTGGATAATATATTGCTAGTATCGGCAGATTCGTTACCAGGCGTCCACGAGTCAGGGTTCAAAGTTGATGCAACAGATTTAAAAAATACTGAGAACAGATTACAAATTTCATTCGGATCATTTGTGCTCCGTTCCTTGTAATACATTTCTGCTGGTAGACTAGGGTTTTTTTTACGATTATTAACGTAAGTCCAGAAGAATTTTATGTTTTTCTTTATACTATCTTCAACAAAATTTTTGTATTTTTTATAGCATTTGCTGCATTCATTCTGAAATCTGTTTCTGTATATTGAGTATATGTAATAATCATAGTTATTATTGTACACTTTCCATTTCATCCAGTATCTATTTTTATTTTTAAATATATGTATTAATGATTTTGAGAACCAAATTGGGAAATGATGATTTTTCGGATGAGATTGAGGAACATGTTTTCTAATAATACTATATATTAATTCATAAAAGTTTTCTCGGCCGTAAAATTAGCTAATAGAGATTTCCAATTAATATCTGTCAACTCTTTGCATATTTGTTCGTAATTGGCTTTGTGATAGTTTTTTTTTAATGTGTTCTTTTCATTTTTGGTAACATTGTGATATCGACCGTAAGTATTGCGTTGAATGCGGGATGGTAATCATCTAGTTTGAGCAAAGGTACCGTAATCGGAAGAACGGAGCAGTCTGTGTTAGATAGTAAAAGATCCAGGGTTCTTTGATCAGAGTTTTTTAAACAATTATACTGGGAAGCTGCAGAAAGTGTCATGAAATTACGGAGGCTTAAATAAGTTGGAGAAGATCCTGTACAAATAAGGGACTTGTTTTGTGCGCTTTGAATCCAGTTCGCCAACGGTATATTATAGTCTCCCCAGCAAAAAAAACATATCTGTGTCGGAATCGTTAATTGTCATCAATAATTCCTTAAAGAAATTATCATAGACCGTAGATGGCAAGTTGTTACCGATATAGACGGCACTAATCACGTTCCGTTTATTATAGTCAGAGCTAGTAAGTAAACTAAAACGTGTTCTAGGTGTTGGGAGTCACCAACGGTTGGCGAAGATGATGCGTAAACAGGACTCAAGGAACGCAGTATAGCAACCATGACACCCCCACCATCTTTCTTAGATGTAGCATTACAGTCTCTGTCACAGCGAAAAACAACGTACCTCTGGTCTATAAATTCATTGTCCAATATTTCGGGAATCAGCCAAGTTTCTGTTATAATTATGATATCATAGTCGTTCGACAGAATATTCATATATAGTGTTTGTAGCTTTGTTCGTATCCCTCTACAGTTTTGATAGTATACACTCAGATTATGCGTCATCTTGAAGTTGGTACCATAAAGAATGTAAATAAAGGAATATTATATGATTGGATAGTGTAACAACTTACCTTAAAACAACATATAGAAACAATAAACGAGTAAAAACTTATGAATGCTTCTTCAGTATGATTTATAAAAAAGATATGAAAAAATACATTAGAAAGTGCGTACTCCTCCACGTGCGTAATTCTTTGCCCAATACAAACTATTAATATAACGATGTTTTTTATACTATTATTATAACAAATTGAATCATTAGTATGAACGCATGCCAGACCTTGTTTAATTATTGGTATTATTATTAATCTTCTTAATATCTTGTTCTGTGCGTATAGGGATGACAGGCGAGTTGTCAGATGCGCGTACCAGGATTGTAGAGTGTTTAACCAAAACATATCTGAAATTGGCCTGATTTGCCGCTTCTCGCGCAATTCGAAAAAGCTGTTTATTACGCAGAGTAAGGTGTTCGTTAAGATATATAATATGCGTGGCACCCGACAGTCCCAGTTTAGTAGATGTTATCCCTTTCTTAATACGGTAAGCGCCAAGGATATTATCACGCATTATACGTGAAGTGAGCTTCACTATGACGTTCTTTGGTTTGCTGGTCTGAGAAGCATGAGGTACGCGGTGAATGGATACAATCTCTCGGCGATTAATGGTACATCCTATTTTCGTGCCAATGCATTCAATTATATTCAGCAAATTTTCATCGCGCCTTTCAGGCAAATTGGATATTTCTATATTGCACTGTCTGGCCTGCTGCTCCAGTCCATCCATCTTTGACGTAAGAGACCTAATGGTTTGTTCGTGGTCATCCACAGACTTATTACAACCTGAGATCTTGCTGACGCACTTTCCAAGTTCATCATGTTGATTAGAAATAAACCGCGTTGATTCCTGCAAGCCCGATATTTCTTTAGTGAGATTTTCTACTTTTTGTTTCATGGCACTATTTTCGTACCGAAGATCATCGATATCCTTCTTTATTTGTGACTGGTAGTTTTCTAGGTCACTTCTAATTGTTTGAATACTATCTGAAATATTTTCAAACTTAATATCCAGGTCCCGCCGAAAGTCTTGTAAAACCTGTGTGAAGTTCGCCTGCATGTTTTTAATTTCGTATAGAATTTCATTGTCCGGTTGTTTTCTTTTTCTTATAGAAACATTCGACATTACTTCATTCGAAGTGCTTAAGTCCGCGTTAGACGAGTATGGTTTGGGAGGGGATCTTGTCGTCATGTTTCCAGAGTACAACAAAAATAATAATAATAATAACAATGAAATAAACGATGCCCGGTACCAATGTATGTTGATAATAAAATCGAATCGCTAATGTGTCGTTAAAGTATCGCTCGTATGTACAGGCCGTGTACAGTCCGATAGCGGATTGATATTTCGCAGTTCTCTGCACTCGCTCGCTGGCCTAGCGTTCGAAATCAGTGCGGCCACGCAGACACCCCAGATTCGAATCTCACCTCTGGTCAAGCAAAAGTCAATCGTTTATTTGTTTTCTCTCTGTAGCACAGCCCGCCAAAAGATCACCATAAACGTCACAGCTCAACCGGCGCACAAGCGAAAACGAAACAGCAACACCATTTCCAATATGGCGGCCGGCTCATATGGACACTGCCTCAAGATAGTAAAGGAGGAGCCGATCAAACACAGTTCAAAAGAATAAAACTTCCCAACTTTTCAAACTTAACAACAAAACAAATAAGTACAAGCACACACGACAATAGGTGAACGGAGAATGAAATGAAATGTTACCTGCTTTGGTTTAAAAAATACTCTTAGAGCAGTATTGAATTTCGTACATCTTCAAGAAGTTAACATTTAAAGACCAAAAATGTGTTAAGGAGCTCTAATTCATTTACATCACTCTTAGAATACCGTAAATTAAGGGGTTAATCGCACCTTCATACAAACTAACTTGAAAGTTACAGCATTCTTTGAGGTTAAAATCTGAAAATCAAATTGTCGTAACCCACATATTAGGAGCTAAATTTGGCACAAAAAACTCGAACCGTTTCAGAGTTATGACCTTTTTACGTTTTTGCAATTTTTGTTTTGTCTCCAGTGAAAAGTTGAGTTTTTGAGTGTTACAGCATATTGCTTTCCAGCGACGATATCATGGTGATTGGTGAAAATTACCTGCAACAATTTTGGAATATTAAATTTGAATTTATGCATATTCAGGAGAAAAACAGCGGGAAAATCTGTTTTGGAACTGTGGAACACTTAATTCGAGCCACCTCGCATCAGTATTAAATGCCCTATGCTTAAACAATGTTCGATTGATCAAGAAGTATTCAACGCAATTGTGAAACTAGTATGTTAAAAGTCTTTTCCATAAGTCCTTTTTGGAAATTTCAAAAAAAAAAATCGGGGGAAACCTTTTTCTTCGATGATAACACTATTTTTATTCTAGCCCTTTAAGGCAAAAACGAGGGGGGGCTCGAATTAAGTGTCCGGGAGTATATTTACTATTGAATAACGGTCTTATAAAAAATACTATTCACATAAAGGATAAAACGTACGAATTTGTTACACGATAGGATGTACTTTACTCGATCATTTAAAATCCCGACTAAAATAAAAGTTTAAAAGAATTATTTAAGAATAAAATATCCGTATGATTAAAACAGACAGGCATGTGACATACCACGAGATTCGGGTATCTTTCGGCATAGGCATGAGTGAAATACAATCAATACTAGAAACAATTGGGTGTGAAAGGGCTGTGCTCTCGGTGGATCCCACACAATTTGACTGAGGCTCAAAAAACGGATCGCGTCACTTGGTGCAATGCCATGCTTACCAGATTCAACGAAGGGGCGTCAAATTGGGTGTGGGACATAGTAACAGGTGACGAAACATGGATTTATAGTTACGATCCCAAAACATAGAAGCAATCGATCGTATGGGTCTTTAGAGATGAGCCGAAACCAACCAAAGTGGCACGCGTGCAAAGTGCCTCTAAGCGGATGATTGCTTCTTTTTTAAATAAAATTGGACTCGTGGCTACTGTTGCTTTGGAGAATCGTTGTACCATGAGTAGTGATTGGTACACGACCATTTGTTTGCCGGAAGTTATTGACAAACTCCGTAAAAATAACCGTAATCATCTTGCACCACGATAATGCCAGTTCTCACGCGGCCAGACAGACAAATGAATTTTTGAAGGTGAACAACGTTGACCTTATGAGCCATCCCGCATACAGACCTGGCACCATGTGACTCTTATTTATTTCCAAAAATTAAGAACCAGTTACGCGGTCAACGATTTTCATCACCTGAAGAGGCTGTCGAAGAGTATGAAAAATATGTTTCAGAGATTGTTACAGAGGACTGGCACAAATGTTTTCAAAATTGGTTCATTCTTATGAAAAAGTGCATTAACGCTAACAGAGAATATTTTGAGAAACAATAAATTCATTTCTGACCATTTATAGTATATTTATCCTATTCATTCCGGAAAGTTATAGTGCGCCACACGTACACTTGACAACGTTATTCTGAAGCCATTTGCATAAAATATCTTTGTGCTTGATATGCGAGGTATCTCATTAAAAATTTGCCGCTTCGGGAAATTAGTCTCGTCTCGGTTACCGATTAAAATGTTTGTAGTTGATATTATATTTCAACAAATAATACATTTAAATACAAACGCTTATTTGATACAAAAACAATAAGATGGTGGTGACCTCGGTTTTTAGACAGGTATGTGGCTCATTCAACCTGAATTCAAGGTACATGACGTAAAATTTAAAATAACTCTATATTTTAAATAGTATCGTAATAAAAATGTATAGTTTAATGAAGTATTGTTTGTACAATTATTCGGTGGTATTCCAATTCACTCCAAGGTATATTATTCAGAAAAGATATATATTTTAAGGAATTTAAATTTTAGGTCTAGTTTGTTTTTAAAAGTGGTCAATAAAATATCGGCACCATCATAGGTCAATGGGCACCATCAATAAATTAAAGGTGGGTTAAATTTTAGAGAATGGACAGTCACATGGCTGTATGTCTATGGGAAAATTACTAAAGACTTAAGTCTAAGACATTATCACTACAATTTTTTATTCTATTGTATTGTGTCAGGCCGACTGAGCTCGCCTCCAATGTGAAACGCACCGATATATTCTGAATTAATGTACCTATTTTAGTGAAATTTTTAATTAAAAGTTTGCTGTGGTCCCAACAAGGGGCCTACCATAACCTTTCAAAAAACAATCTTATTTCGATGTAAGCTTATAGTAAGCTTATTATAATATTATTCATATTCGCACGTGACAAATCTATCAACCAAGTAATGTATTATTGCTAAAGTGACTGAAAGACTAATGATTTCCCAATACTGTCTATTCCTTACTAAAAATGGGAAAGAAATAACGCTATATCAACTGTATAATGCCATCTCTTTCTTTTTTGATGTTCTGAATATAGATGTCGCTGTCATAATTTAACGAAATAAACATCGCGTACTTTTATTAAACGAGAAATTATTTCCTATATACTATTAAATAAAAAATTAAAAAAATATTGAAGAGGTAAATGTAAATAAATAAGTTCAACTTAACTTTTAATCATACAAATCAATATTTAGACACTAAATTCCAAAATTGTTACCATTGCATCCGTGTAACTATCTTAAGGGTCGTATTCCAGAACTCTACTCAATGCTCAATTCAGGGCTTGAGAATAATTTAAAGCACTCGAATTCATACTCAAGTCCTTGTCATTAGGGTCATATTTCCAGTGCTTGAAATCATGCTCAGGTCCTGACTTGAGCATTGAGTGGGGTTCTAGAATACGACCCTAAGATTGCTAAATTTGACATAAGAACAATATTACTTTAATGTCAAAGTCGCGTCATAGTACGAACTGAGCGCATGAATAGTCATAAAGCTGGCAATAAAACATCATAGTTATTATTATTATTTAATATGTATAAAAACATTACAGTTTCCTTTAGGTAAATACATAGTCAATAAGCTTACTTTAAGCTAGTCATGGTACGAAAAGTCAATGTAAGGTCAAAGTAATATTGTTTTAAAAGGTTGTGGTAGGCCCCAGGAAGTGTAGTATTTAAGAAGGGTTCAATTTAATTTACTTACGTAATATATAGTTAGATGTGACCGCAATTAATTAATCGCAATAAAAGTTACGTCTCTGGGTGGCTTCTGGTGCCCAGTGGAGTCACACAGGGATCTTTACTCGCGCCTCTCCTGTTTGCGATTTTTGTGAACGATATCGACCATTGTTTTAAATTATCACAATTTTTATGCTTTGCAGATGATATAAAGATTATAACGCCTATTTCTTCATTGTCTAATACAATCCTGCTTTAAGAGGATTGTAATATAGATAACCAGCTTGACCTTAATACGTCTAAGTGCAACGTCGTCATTTTTAGCCGCAAAAGTTATTAGTGCATTTCAAGCCTCCAAAGCTCTCGAGTTTGTGATGCGTAACTCCAGCGATTTCTGACAGGCTAAAACACCAAAAATTTTATATTGCGCATTTGTCCGCATCCACCTGGAATACACATCGCAGGTCTGGAGCCCTCAATACCTTACCTACATATCGCGAATTGAAAATGTACAAAGAAGATTTATTAAGTGTTTATGTTTTCGAACTAGGGTAGGGTAGCGGTACGAGTCAAACCGGTATCTTGATATATGTAATAAACATTACAGCCACTAGAAATGCGACGTCAGATAGCAGACCTAGTATTTTTGCGAAAAATTGTGTCTGGTGTCGTGGACTCCCTAGAAATCGTGTCCAAGATTTCTCTTAGAGCCCCTACAAAGTCCCTTAGGTGAATTCACTTTTGTGCGTACCTGTGGCCTCTTCGAATTTTCGGCGGAATGCATATATCTATCTGTTGCGTGCGAGTAATGGTTTCAATGTGTTGTCTAAGCAGGTTGATATTGGACCTTATTAACACCAGTGTTGCTTCAGTGAAGCGTCTTTTTTTAATTCAAATGTAAGTGTGCATTTGACCTCCATCTCACCTGATAGAAAGTTATGATGAGGTGGACGATGGAGCATGCACACCTAAATAATGTCTATTCAATCTCGGTTTGAAAAAGCCCAAGTTATAACGTTCAGGGAACAAGTCTGCAGGCAGGGAATTCCACTCCATAGCCGTTCGCCATATAAATGTGGAAGCGTAATGCTTCGTGCGAACCTTTGGAATATCACAACATGGGGTTGGAACCCAAGCCTAC